TTGCGACGGATTCCCGACGGATTTTTATTTCCGACGAGATAGAACCGACGGACAAAAAACGTCGGAAAGCCGTCGGAATATGGCTTATTCCGACGGTTATGGCCGTCGGAAACTGCCCTGTTTTCTTGTAGTGATATTCTCAAGGATCTGCAAGTAATACGACATGACCGGGACAACCTGACAAATTTCAGGGTGAAACTGCCTTGTCTAAATACCTTGACGTATAAGTATGTGAAACTAGAACAAGACAATGTTAGAAATATGGGGGGATCTTTGGTTATAGATTCTGCAACTCTAACGAGAATCCTCCTCTACGATTTTTCGGGAAACTCTTGCTCGATTGAGAACAAGCCTCGTCTTGATCTGGCATATATCAGCACTTGCTCTTACACTGACGACAAGTTTAGGAGATGTCTTTCCACAGTCATATATCTCCTCTTAGTTTTAAACGTTGAAACGGTACATTATGCCTTTTTAACTTGACTATTCATTTGCCTTGTTTATTATTGTTATGATCACATTTCCAAGTAGTCTACTTATCTGTTGTCATGTTCATTGTAGGTTGCATGTTGTAACACCATTGAATTCTCCCAGCTTACAGAGTATGTACTACATCCATATGGGTTAAGATTGGTTGGAAACATTTATGTGTTTTCTTCAAAATTCTCCTAAACTAAAACTTCTTATAATCAACCAGGTTCGCACCCCCGCTCATGCAGTTTTCATGGACTAATAAATTTAAACTCAAGTTGATTACATATTTTGATGTTGTTTCACAGAGAGATAACTTGCCACTTTCATTCAACCGTCCGAGTTCTGTTCCTGGATGTTTGTCAACCCATCTTGAAGTCTTTGAGTGGGAACAATACAGAGGAAGAGACGGAGAGAAAGAAGTCGTAAGGTACATACTTGCCAACTCCAAGTGTTTAAAAAGGGCAAGTTTCTCATTTGTTACAAACTGCAGTCGTGAAAGTCAAGAGAAGATGATGAAAGAGTTAGAATCTATGTCAAGGGTTTCAACATCGTCTCTTCTCCACCTAAAACCGCGTCAGCGCTAAACGCTCTAGAATGAATTGATCTATATATATCAAGACTTATATATGTGACATTAGACGTTAAACTATTATTTTATAATTATTTCTACTTATTCGACTCATCTGACTTAATCATGAAATTCTTGTTTCATAAGACTAGAAAAAAATAGTTTTAAGATAGAACTGTCTCCGGCCTTGATTGTTTTACAGACTGAGATAAAAGATCATTTGTGTTTTGTTTGTCCTTACACATTCAGGGTTTAGATCAATATTGTTGGGGATTTGATGAGAGTCCCACCTGACCAGGATTCACACTTTTGACCTAATTCGTTTCACATTCCAAGCGACAATATATCACTTCAGTTACGAGCGAAACAAAAGGCGACATAAACACATATATCAACCGTTGACTCACCTCATTCGAGTCATTGACAAATCAGTTCTCAACAGAATGAGACCTCTCTCAGATACCATGACATCCCAAGGTTTCAAAAGAAAAACACACAACTTAAATAATGGATTTAAAACTAGAAAATTCAATGTTTTTGTCCCAGAAAAGAATTAAATAGAGGCTCTAGAGGTGGATCAATGAGCGCCTGAAGCCTTAAATAATTTTGGAATTCCAATACTATAAAATTTATCAACATAACAGTCACTATTCAATCACATATTTACATAGTTGAATCCAGTATCTATGTGATCATGGATTCCCCTAAATTAATGAAGATTTTAACCTTTTTTTATACTACATGCTATTAACCTATGACTACTTTACAATGTCTAGATTATTATTTGTACACTTTCTTTGACGACCGCAAAGAATTAAAGAACCCTTCTCCTTCCTCCACATTGAATATTTTTCCAAACCTCCCATTGTTCAAGACTCGAATCAACCGACCACTATAAACTATGGAGTCCAGTTTCGATAGACTTTTCTACTTTAATTACGTCTGTGGCAGGAACTGTCCTCGACAGGAATATGTTACCTTTTGAATCTTTCCTGCTGTAACTCTCCATCTCATTGCTCATCACTATGGTGCATTGTCTCCAAGTCTCACACATCAACTCTACCCCAAAGTATCTTAAATGGTCCGAAATGCTAAATCCCTTCACTGATCTGAAACAACAAGAATTAATAATCATTTGCGTTAAAAGTCTCATACCCGAGCTAATACATGAAACATAAGGGGTGTTGTAACTATTCCTTGCCACTAGTTATCGCTAAGGTAAAATGTGGTAGTAAATAGTGATCCTAAGTTTTTGATTTTGCGGGCTTGTTCTCGCTAGTGTAGGTGTATTGCAGAGAGGAATTATTAATTATATCGGTCAGTTGTTTCAGATGAATGATAGTTACCTGCTGCATGTAGGATCTTCACCGGTGTTGTCACAAACTTTCTCCATACCAGAAAGAACAGGGTTCGCAAAACTGAGACCTCTCACCCACACCTGCAACCCAAAACACACTATTACCACTTTCTTCAGGGTACCAGAATTGGAAAGATGATCCAAGTAGTCCAGATTTTTGCATAAGATAGCTTAAAACGAAAACTGTCATTCTGATGAACATTCATCGAGTGCACTGAGAGAAGGATGTTACCTCTGTTGGGAAGTGGTGGTATGTCTTTTGAGGGAAAATATAATAGTAAGGAGGCAGATGAGGAACCATATCATGGTCATGTATGATGCGGAAGGTATTAGGCACAAGCAAACTGTAATAAGATGCAAAAGCAGCATTCCCAACACGAGGTTGCCCAAATGTCATAACCTGTACGTTTTCTTCTCCTTCATTTACCTGCAATTTACATCCGAATTGAAGTCAGTAACAGCTTTAAAGGAAGAAACATAAAAAAATAGTTCAATTTGAGGATGATTACAACTAGGTCTAGCCCACAAAAGGAAGCCATGGCTCCTCCCATTGAGTGACCAGTCACCATGATGTTGATGTTCTCCCCATATGATTTCTTCACTCGTTTTACAGCACCCAAAACCGCAGGCCGTACAGTTGTATTGTGGTAAGCTATATAAAAGCCATGGTGCACCTGCCAATGCAAACAACTATTACAAATTTACAAGTTCCACCTTACTACATAACAAACTTGATGAAAAAGACTTGACGTTAACACGTACCATTGCATCTGGCATATCAGGGTAATTTAGATCGAGCTGTTTCCAAAACAAGTCTTCGACCCAATTTTGAATGCTGCACAAGTTTTGAGTTCTTTAAGCATCAACCAAGTTTAGGCAAAGGTATAGCTTTCAGATTACAATGACGAGAGTAATACCTGTTTTCTTGAGTTCCCCGAAATGCAATAACTATAGCATTCAAATCCTTAGCCACCCCGACATATGCCTGTTGTTACATGTACAGATATGAATAAATGTTTAATGAAAAAACATCATGTCCTGGTGTAGCTTAAGATACCAGGGCAGACCTGTAGGCAGTGCTCAACATCAACTATTATCTATATTACTTCGAAACCCTGCACCATTCTAAAGAACGTCAGAATACCTAATTGGAGCTATTAGGTTTATTGTATATACAATGGCTTCAAACCGTGATCTGTCTCAACGTATGTTATACCTTTGTCAATCCATTGCATCTTTCACAGGTCCAAGTGAAGAGTTCTGTCAAATCAGACATGTAGACCTGCATACATATGGAAACTTGATTCATCCATCTGGTTCAGGCCTTTTTGATTACGGTAGTAAAGTTACCATGAACTTACCGCAGAAGCATACTCCACAAGCGTTATGGCGAGCGTATGGTTGTAAACAGGTCTACCATCATCATCACTCTTCAACTTGAGAACTGAAACCAGAAAAGAGAAGCTCACCATAAATACTCTTTTTTCAGTCTTAAATCATTTGAAGCCTCACATCTTATGTACCAAGTACATAAAACTGTCGGAATCATAAAGGTTTTAAAATAGAAAATTCAATCATCACGGTTCCTTGTGCATCTGATACTAAATACATCGTAGATAAAACTGTTCTACTTAAGGAAAAGAATCATGATACAACATATGTAATTAGCCCTTAAGGAAAAAATCCAGTTCACATTGTATTGTAGCCAGATTAAAAAAAAAAACAAATTATCTTCCCAATCATTATCACTACACACAAGTTTCAAATCTTAATTAGGCCCAGAGAGACTCAAGAGGGAGAGTCCAGAACTGGAGTTAGCAGAAAGGAAACAGACAGAGAATCATTAAAGAAGTTCCATAATCACCTCTTCCATGTGAAAAGAAAATCAGACACGCAAATATTGCCAGAAAGAGCAACCATCTCTTTTGTCCCATATCCCCTGCAATAAACACAACCACATCATCTTCTGTTCCTTAACCAAAACAAGGGCAAATTGTTTAGGAACTAAATTAGCAACAACAACAACAAAAAACTGTTTAGCTCATAATACGAGACTAACACAACGCAAACTAAAGAGATGATTAGCGAAAAATCCCAAAAGAGATTTTTACAGGTTAATGCGAGATTTCAGCAACCAAGTCCCAGAAAGAAAGCAAATTGAGGATCAAAGCAACCCAAGTACCTAACCAAACGCCTTTAGTTAACTTATTTCATCACGATTGTAAATTTCCGGTCGATTATCGGATATAATCCCCGGCTGAAAAATAGAAGCAGGCGTGATTTGCGAATGGCGAGAGAGAAGGTGCAAGAAGAAACGGCGACGAATTTTTGTTTTCTTTTTCTTTTAAAGCGAATATTCTCTTTATTCTATAATTTCCACTTTCGGACAAATAAATTCGGATGAGGGATATTCAAAGTGTAGCGTGTACCAGAGGTTCGAGTGCTGAGGTGTCATGTGGATAAGGCGGTTAGAGAAAAAAGACAAGTTCTAGAGGTTTGACCTTTTGACTTTTTTTTTAAAAATCTACTTTCGTCTAAATCTAGGCCCATCATTGTCCGAGGCGGGAATACTCGAACAGGGGGCGGGAAAATCCCTATAGGTTATGGCCACGTGGCACATCGTAGCCGTAGATTTGATAAGTCGAATCAACGGAGTAAAATCGAGTCTTAATTTCACTTCTGTTTTCACT